CGGCCTGGCGAGTGTGCTCCACGCTCCCGGCCGCGCCGGGCCGTATCCCGCCTGCGCCCGCACCGCCGTGCCGGCCCCTGGTGGGTGGTTTGTGGGCGCTGGGTGAAGTTGTGTGAGAGGGGCTGTGGGGCTCGGGGCACCCCCGTGTTCCCGGCAGCATGGGGAGAGCCTCCCACCCCGAGTTCCCTACGAGCAGCACCTGCGGTGGCCGCGGGGCTCTGATGACGGTGCTTCAGAACCGGGCCAAGTTACACCGGTCTCTAAAGAGGCCCTGGAGTCGTTCTTCTCCCCCCCTCCCCTCCACCTGCAGCCCCAGTCGTGGGTAGGAAGCGTTGCTCCTGCTCTGCGCCAGGGCCTGCAGTCGCTGTGGGGCAGGCGTGGAAACCCGGGTGTTGTGTTGGGCGCCTTCAGGCAGGTGACGTTCTAGTTACACAGGGAAACCGTTGTTTCTCTGAGCTGCTGAAAGATGAAGCTGGTTTCCTCTCCTTTTTCCAAAAGAAAGAAGTTCTGGTATGACAGCCCTACCCTGGGATCTAAAATGGTAAGTGCAAGCTTTTAAGATGCTGTGTTTGTCTGTGCCAGAAGGAGCAAGCTGCTGCTGCTTCTGCCATTGTGTCTAACTTTTGGGAAAAGCATTTTCTGGTGGAGAAATAGCAGAATTTTGTGAATGAACACTAGTGCTCAAGTTTCACTATGACATGCCAGGATTGCTCTCAGCAGCTCCCCGTGGCTGTTTCCAACACTCTTGTACGCTCTGGAGCCCGTAGCAGAGAACTGATGCAGATTAAAACTTCTGTATACCAGCTTAGTTTTACTTCTTTGGAAAACAAGTTTTCATGTTTGTTTTTCAAACAAGCAACACTTTTAATGCGTGCTGTATTTTAGAGAACTGATTTATTGAGCTGTATAACTTGCTACAAAATAACAAACTAAGGAACCTTGACTGTAATACGTGAAGGTCAAAGATTTTGTGAACAGAAATATTCTTTATTGAAACACCTGATACATAAGATCTATATAAAGCTCTCACAGGTCCAGTAATGGCATTCGAAGAGCATACTTGGAGTGCATAAAACTGTATATAATTGCCTAATACAGTTTCGTAACTACTGATTAATGTGTTGTTGTTGGTTTTTTTTAAAAGATGTATAAACCAACCAAGTTAGCCTCTGTAATGAAAGATGAGCAGAAAAAAACTAGGAAAGAAGATAACATACGCTGCAGAGTCTTGAATAGTCTTATTCATAAAGCTGTGGCAGACTTGATGACTACCTGTGAAGTTAATCAAGAACTTTATGATCTCAAGCTGGAAATCTGCAAGGTAAGTGCCAAAGCTACAGCTCGTGTTGAGCCACTCTGACCGCGCAAAAGGAGCTTCCCTGGGTGTGGTGATGTGTGCAGGAGGAGTTGTACTGCATTGCTTCTGATGTAGCACAGCACAGCAAGATGAGGCTCTGGGTTCACCTTGCACACTGGGAGAACTTCGCCACTGTTGTACCTGGCTTAGTAGATCTTTGCCACTATAATGCAAATGCAACTTAGGCCAACTAAATGGTGATTCTCCTGGTATGACTTTTACATGTACTGTTCTCCTTGCCCTTTCAGAAGGAGGAGCCTGGTTTTACCAACATATTTTTGCAAGAGTTTTTTCTTCATGCAGCTATGTGGGAGTTGATACCTCCTTGTGTCCCTCACCAGCATCATTACGTAGGCAGAAGGTCTAAGTGGGACATGAGCTTAGTTCAAAAAAAAGCCATTGGCAAGCCAGGTTCCAGAAAGAATTAGAATTTGTACCCGATGGTAGCTAGTGTTGTCATAATTCATGGGTTTGAAAGGGACATTAGAGCTCTGATTCAGGAACTAAGTTGGTCTCCACGTACTTGCTTGTTGTCTGTAGTTTCTTCTTCTACATTTGCTCTTTTGTTAAGATTGAATGATACCAGTGTTTGGCTTAAAAGCTTGACGTTAGAAGCATTGCTCCTCATAGGTGCATCTATTACAAGGGGTTTGCCATATATGATTGAAACAGATGTTTTTGGCAGCTGAATTAATTCTGTCTTCCGGCAAGTGATTAAAATTACATGGGCAAGATGAATCTTTTGGCTCTATATGTGCAGTATCCTTCATATAGTATTTCTCTCTCTCTAGGGCTTTGAGGATTGCTTGTCTGAGATTGTCTGCATGTAAAAATACTGGCTGGTGTAAGCGAGCCACAGCGCTTTTGGGAGGCATTGCTGTAAATGAAACAACTTGTAACATGAGGGAAGGAAACAGCTTTCTTCCAAATATAGTACAGATTTTATTATAACTGTGTCATGCTTAGTTTTCGTGCTGCACTGGGACATGGCTGAGACTTGGTCCTGATTTACTCTTGAGCTGCTTCTGGTCTGATATCTTTACTTTTGTTATCAAAAGAAATCTTCCAGTAGGCTTTCTACAATCCATCAGAATTTGGGTTTTTTTGGTATAAAAAGTTAAAATTACATAATAGTAATACAGATAAGGATCATGCTTCAGACTTGATACATCAACCTTTTATCCACTTGATAACATTACTTATGTGATGATAAAGAAATGGCTTGTGTTAGATAGGGTTGTTTATGTGCTTACATTAGACTCAGTGTGGGAGATGGGGATGGTTGACCCTGAAGTAGAAACAGCTGGTTAATCATCACTGTGGGTTTTTTTTTAAGGAGTGGTGGGTTTCCCCAGGCAGGAGTTATTTAGTGGTGGAAAAAATCAGTATCTGCTTTGGTTTTTGGCACAGTCCATTCTGCCCTAGGAAGGAGTAGCACTGTCAACAGCAGACCCCGATGCAGTTTTCACTCCCGGGAATACTCTGATGGAATTGTCTTTTCCTGCTAATGTCTGTAGACATCTGTTTGTTTGAGGAGTTGGTTTCTGGACTAGATGACCTCTGAACTGTGCCTTCTAATGGGTAGTTTATGCTGCCTTCTCCCTCTTCCTTGGCTCCTTCCTTTGGTTGAGCCATGTAGGTTATTAGAAGTTTGCTGAGTGTACTGTCATAGTGAGAACCTGTTCTGTAAGACACTGCTAGATGCGATGAATGACAGTTACAGAAATCTTCCAGAATCCAATTTGTGTTTCAGAAGTTTATTCTTCAGGAAGATAGGTTGACAATCTCACATGTGCTTTGGTCCCTGCACACCGTGCGTTCTCAGTTGCGTGCATGACAGCTGTGAATATTACCTGTTAGTGAGCTAGAGCACTGGAGGTTCCCAGGAGGCTTTAGAGCTGGAGAGATTCTTACATTACAGTGGCATGGAGGGTGTCTTCTTTTCTGTCAATACCAAAACCAAACTCTGGGTGACAACAAACCAGGCAGTGTCACAGGTCCTTCTTTAGTGGAAACTTACACTTTCAACTGTATTCTAAAACAGCATGCCATAAAGTGTCATTATGGACTATTTGTGATGGTAGCACCCTTGCATTGATTAAGTGTAGCACTGTCAGTAACACACAGGTGTTGACAGACTTCTCCTCTGTTTAATTTCAGTTGAAGGGGAGATCAGGCAGTGACTTGCCTAAGTTAAAAAAGTCCTTTCAGGTACTGAATGTAAATCTTATTTGGTGTTAAACTCTACCTCTATGAAGGCACCGTGTAATTTTGGTTCTTAAGAGCAGAGATGGAAGAAGAGATTCTCCTAAGAATTTACATAGCCAGTTTGGGTCACTGTATGCTTATTCATGAATTAGAGACTGTTGTATATGAAGAGTGTGTGTATACATATAATTTTACATAAATGTTTGTCTTTTCTTAGGTGTCCCTGGCATCAAACTTTTCAGCGTGTCGTGTGTACTGGAATCCTGCTACTACTAGGGAGAAAGAAAGTTATGTTGAAAGTGTACTGCGCAAGAGTGCTCCACGTATACGGTACTGCTATGGGATAAACAGTTAGACCACTTCATAAATTCATAGCTGTGTATACTAGTACCATTTTTAAGTGTTTCTAACAATCTATATCTGACTTGTTAGGATGCTTTAGATTTTTAGATACTTGGAGTCAGAGCATCTCCTGTGATGAGCCTCACAGGGAAAGATGACTGTGTCAGACCAGCTGTGTATCCTCCTGCTGGAGCACAGCTGGCTTATTTGGCTTCTATGCTTTACTAGGATTGGACTGGGCTGAGCAGAAAGAAAGAGGAGTTTGGATGAAGTTTCACTTCATTGTGGTAGTGATGGTGGGCTGGACATGCTGTGCACAACAGTAGGCCAGAATATGATGCTGCACAAGAGGACTGGCAATTATAACAAGTATGTCCTTACAGATTCACTGGGCAATTCTGATCACTAGGGACAATTTGGACCTCCAGAAGGGGTGACTAATATTACAGGAATTCTTCACAGTACTGATAACAAAAAAGAGATGTTGGGATGCTACTGTGTATTGTGATGCTTTTACCCATTTTTGGCAGAGGGTCCAGTGAGTTTTCAGGATATCATAGAGATTTTTGTCTTTCCCTCTTTCCTGGGCTTACCCTCTGCTATCCAGCCAGTCTGTTGGAGGATCAGGACTTCACCCCATGGGGAAGGTGCCACTGAACCACACCTGTAGAGCCATTTCCTTTCCTCCTGTTTCCCTAGGCTATATAATTCCTGCTCCAGCACAACACTCTCTTCTGCTCCCAACAGCTTCCACTCTTTGAGAAGGAATGTCACAGGCTGTGAAGAAGGCGAGGGGAGCTCTGTCAGTCCTTCCTGCAGCTAGCATGTAGGACTAGTTGTCTTGCCCTGCTGTGAGGGCTCTATCTCCCACTGCTCTCACCCCTACAGTGGGGATAAGGAAGCCACATGAAGTGGGGAAATCATAGAATCATAGAATCATAGAATGTTTTGGGTTGGAGGGGACCACTAGAGGTCATCGAGTCCAACCCCCCTGCAGTCAGCAGGGACACCGCCAACTAGATCAGGTTGCTCAGAGCCCCATCCAACCTGGCCTTGAATGTTTCCAGGGATGGGGCCTCCACTACCTCTCTGGGCAACCTGTTCCAGTGGTTTACCACCCTCATTGTAAAGAATTTTTTCCTTATATCTAGCCTAAACCTACCCCGATTTAGTTTAAAACCATTACCCCTTGTCCTAACGCAGCTGGCCCTACTAAAAAGGTTTTCCCCCTCTTTCCTATAGGCCCCCTTTAGGTACTGAAAGGCCGCAATCAGGTCTCCCCGCAGCCTTCTTTTCTCTAGACTGAACAAGCCCAACTCTCTCAGCCTGTCCTCATAGGAGAGGTGCTCCAGCCCTCGGATCATTTTAGTAGCCCTCTTCTGGACCCGCTCCAACACTTCCATGTCCTTCTTGTGCTGAGGGCTCCAGAGCTGGACGCAGTACTCTAGGTGAGGTCTCACCAGAGCTGAGTAGAGGGGCAGAATTACCTCCCTCGACCTGCTGGCCACGCTCCTCCTGATGCAGCCCAGAGTACGGTTGGCCTTCTGGGCTGCCAGGGCACATTGCCGGCTCATGTCCAGCTTTTTATCCACCAGCACCCCCAAGTCCCTCTCGGCAGGGGTGCTCTCCATCCTTTCTCCCCCCAGGCTGTATTGATACTGGGGGTTACCCCATCCCAGGTGCAGGACCTTGCACTTGGCCTTGTTGAACCTCATGAGGTTCACACAGGCCCACCTCTCCAGCCTGTCCAGGTCCCTCTGGATGACATCCCGGCCTTCTGGTGTGTCAACCGCACCACTCAGCTTGGTGTCATCTGCAAACTTGCTGAGGGTGCACTCTATCTCACTGTCCAAGTCATTGATGAAGATGTTGAACAGCACCGGTCCTAGTACGGACCCCTGAGGGACACCACTTGTCACCGGTCTCCATCCGGACATTGTGCCGTTGACCACTAAGACCTGCTCCAGCCTGTGCATACGGGAGACAAACCTAGTATCATCAGTACTCGGTGGGATCTGCAGCTAGTAGTTTTTTTATGTCAATGAGTTGGGATTCTGCAGTGATGTATTGCTTAGCACTAACCTGAATGGGTACCCATCAGACTGTAAGTTTTGTAAACAATATCCTTAAGTTTGTAGTACTGCTGGAATTAATTTAACATATTTTATCTGTCCTGAAGGTGCTGTACTGTTACTCATACTAGTGAATGCTGTATTTTTTCCAGGTATCTTCTGATGAGTCAGCAGATTCTAGGAAATGTACCCCCAATAGTATTTGTAAAAGACAAAGAAGCTGCAGCTGTAAAAGAGGTAATTGTAATCTTTTACTCAATGTATGAATATAATGATGTGTAGACGTAGTGACTAGGCATACCATAGTGCTTAGGAATATGGAGAGAGCTGATCATTCAGTTGCTCTATGAATCTACATTAAAAATCAGTCCTTGTCTATACCCTTTCCTCTTCATGTTCTAAAGCATTTTAGCAAAGAATCTTGAGTAAAACTGATGCGTATATACAATGAGCTATCGCCTCATGAACTATTTTTGATGCTACTGTTAAAATTTCTGACATGAAATTTTCAGAGAAGCTTGTAGGCCAGATCATTAGATCAAAAAAGAAATCCTAAAAAATGAAATTACAATTACATTAATATAGGGTAGGCAGTTGTCTGTTGCCTGGTATACATGATTATAGAAATGAGGTCTGAGGAGCTGTCTTCCACATTTGAAATGTTACATGTTTGTAAAATGCTGTTGAATCTAATCAGTGATTTTTAAATATTTTTTATCCCAAGCTTTTTCCATCTGTGAATTGTTAAAATGTTTCTAGGGAAGTGCAGATCTTTGCATGGAGGATGTAAGCTTGCTCATACTACCTTTTTTTTTTTCACTTTTAAAATTATCTTTACTATTTCAGATTTTCTATCAAGGTGTTGATGGTTTTGACTAGTTGAAATATTGCTAGAATGTTTTCTAGGAATTCGCTGTCATGAGGACTGTGAAGTGAGATATCTTAAATAGTGAGATTTCCGTGAGAGAAAGATGACACCAATGAGTGGAATTTCATGAAAAAGTCTCCTCGAGCTGTTGATGTGAATCGAAAGAACGTTAGTTGAAAAGAACACGTTCACATTTCTGTGCCCTTAAGTGCCTTATTCTTAGATGTGCTACTATTACAACCAATTACTGCTAGTGACTTATGGGCTCATGTGGTGTGTATTAGCAGAGCTGGAAGGGATAACAGGAACTTCAGACTCCAGAAATGCAGTGAATTGCTTGAACTTTCTGTGGTCGGAAAAATTCTGAGTTTTATGCCAATATACTGATCCACAATGCAAATGTTTTCACCTGCCTTAGCATCAACAAAATGCACAGTAATACAAATTAACTAAACTCTTCTGACAGTTTTTTATATTTGTTATTATGCTCCCCCTAATCAACACAAGAAATCTACACAACAAGTAACAAGTGATTATGGAAGCACTTTGTCATTACTATTACTCTGTTATTAACATATCTAGATGGAGCTTCAAATACCTACTCCTGCAGGTCCTGCCTTTCAGGTCTGTTATTGTGGAACCTGTGCCATTAATCACTGTTTCTCAAACTTTGTTAAATGACCACTTACTCTTTTTGAAGAAGAAAACCCGTGGACTACCTTACCTTCAAGTTCAGTGCATAGGCACCAAGAAAGTTAACTACACAAGACAAGTAAAAACCCTCCTTATACAGCTTCTGTGAGTGAATGGCACTGAGCAGCACTTAGATGGATCATCTTTTCATACTTTGCAGATCATCAGGTTTATGTAATTCAAACAACAGGGCTTGAAATAATGTAGCTGAACCTGATTATGAAGTATTGGAAGACAGGGAAGGACCATCCAATTGAACTCCTAGAAAAATATGTTGAATTACAAGGGAAGTAATGTAAAGAAAAGCAGGAATAAAAATTTCAAATGAGATAAAATTTTCCCAATTAGGTGCAGTCTGTAAGCACTGGATAAACTAGATTTGTAGCGTTTACTCATTAGGTGCCATGTTAAAAGGAAGTTGGGAACTCAATATTTACACGCAATAGAAGTACAAACTGCAGAAAGGGGGAAGAAGTGAAAAAAATCCCAGTGTAAGTATGTTATGAAAAAGGATTTGCAAGACTGAAGTAAGACCAAATTAGCAAAAAATTATGTCACACATTCCCTAGCCAACTGTTCAGAATGTACATAAGGCAAAAAACTGTAGGAATCCCTGGATCAGTTACGTTACTTGACATGGACTTCCCAGGCAAGAAGTATACGCAGTTCCATGAAAATGGAGGAAAAGGCTATTTTGAAATGTTTTTGCTAAATATTCCAGACATATAGAAAATAAAATATTTGTTGTTTGATACTTTCATGTTGTCTAGGCGTGAACAAAGTAAATTTAATACAGGGCCTTTAATATGTATTGTCTTAATGTGTTTACAGATTGAGGAATTATTGTCAATTGCTGATTTTGGACCTCCAGAAGAAGTAGAAACATTATCTCAAAATGATTCTAGGTGGGTTATTTGAATCAGAGTTCTACAGGTGTCTGTTTTCATCTCTGTTGGCCAGCTTAAATTGAGTATCATTTTACATGACAGAAAGTATATTTTAATTAGATGTGTACATTGTTGTTATCTTGGGGTTCAGCAAATGGTGTTATGAGGAAATAGAAAGTTGGAGAGAGACTTTTTGGAAGACCTTACCAAAAAGGCATCTCATCTTTTAAAGAGATCAGTTGGGCCCTTTTATTAACAGAAGAGGCTACAGAGGGAAAGTACTTCTTATTATATATGCTTTAGTTTACTTTCATATTTTAGTGCCAACACATTTTTATAGGCTATTTTGTTGTTGGTTCTTGTGCCCAGGTACCTTGCTGTAGACCACAGGTTTGCAAATATGGAAAGGGAAAGTCTGTTTTTGTATATAAGTGGGCCTCTGTTAAGCTGTGGAGGATGACTGAATTGTCACCTGTAACAGTATAGTGTATGTGCTTTCAAAGGCAACTAACCCATAAGGTGATAACACAGGCTTTAGAAATCAGCTATGTTTGATGTCTGTACTCTGAGAGACATAGTCATCAGACTTGTTACTTGCAGACCCAATACTTGTACTGGTATTAGTATCTTCACTTTTATGAGGGAAATATTTTTAGAATTTCTAAGAATTCAAGACTCAAATGTGTTTGTGATAATTAAATTTTAAAAAATACTTTACAGCAGTAATACTTATTTCTTGCTGGTAATTTTCTGATGAGGATAAAAGCTTTACATTTACCAGTACTACTCTACTTGGCCACTTTTTCCTGATATAAGTCTGGATTCTTATAAAGGAGTACAAGTTTTCTGATAAATCTCCCTAAGTTAACAAAAAGTAAGTTAATTAAGCATTCCTCTGTGAGGGAATTTTGGCTATTGAGGGATAGGGCTGAACAGTCTATTGGAATGATTCTGTGGACTGGATGCTCTCAAAGCCAACAGCCTTGCACTTTGTGTGCTGCAGTCTGTTGGTGGAAATGCCTTTTGTGCCTTAATGTCTCTCAGGACGGTTCATTGGGTGCAAATCAGAAATAGCTTCTTGGGAGAAATCACTGTTGTGACAGACTTTCCCACAGGGCACCTAACATCTTCTGCTGTTTGTGTCTTCTGGAAATGCTTAAGGTCAGCTTAAGGTGCCATACGCTGTCATTCATACACCGGCCTGATGTGTTCTCGGCACTCCTTGGAAGAGCTGTGAGAGTCTTGGTGCTCCCAGCTTCAGTGCTTACTCTGTTGCCTATGCACACCTTTTCCTGGAAGCAAGCAGTTTCATCTAGAACGTAGTTGCTCTGTTGGCTTCCCCCCATTAAATCTGTTGATACACTGACAGGCTTATGCAACAGCCTATCCTTGACACATAGTATGGTGGTACCTCTGCCTTCTTAGCAGGGAGCACAATGCTGAGCACAGTGCATTAATAAAGCCAAACTAAAAACTGCAGTTAATTTCTGTGTTACTCAAATTGTCACAGTTAGCATTGCCCCTTAAAATATACATGGGGAAAAAAAACCCACAACATTTGTTTTCCTTTCCACAGTAAACTGTTCTCTTCAGCAGCTCAATCTTCAGATTCACCCATGCGTTCTAATCTTTTTGGTATTGATCATGAACTGCTGAATAAGCAGATAATGGACTACAAAAGACTGAAAGTGTCAAGAGATACAGAAAGCATTGCCTGGACAGAAGAGCAGGAGCAGTGGCTTTCTAAGACTCGAAAGAAAATGAAAAAGAAAAAAACAAGGAATCCTCCTGATGATGACATTACACCACAGAAATACTTACTGGACAGGTATGAAGCTGATTACTGTGATGATAACACTGAATCAGTCTTGGACTATGAGCTGGAGGATGAATTACATGAAGAGGTAAACGAATTGGAGGCGGGTGATGGCAAAACTCTAAGTCAGCCTACTGATAAACTGAAATGAAATGAAAAAGCCACTCCCTTTAAAATGGAGGCTGCCAATAGCAAAAAAAAAAGAAAAAAACTGCCACAGATACCGAAAGATTAGTTTTGTACAGCCTGTTTACCACTTCCTCTTTCAAACTAATAAGGTTTGCCACATGTGGGGAGGTTTGCTAGCACAAGGTATGTAAGAAGAACAAAACTGCTGTTTGTGACGTTCTGTTAAGCAGCTTTCAAGCTGCTGCAGTTGTAGGACTTTCAACCAGAGAGCAGTTTTGTAATAACAAAATATACATAGTGCAGCATTGAGTTAAAACTTCTGGCAGTTCTGTTGATTATTTCCAACAAAATTATGGTTTCTGTGTTGAAATAAAATGTCATCTTTTTTTTTTTTTTTTGAGAGATCTGGATAAAAATAATCACGAAGTGAAGATGTCTGTTATTCTAAGGTCAGGAAGAAAGAGGGAAGCAAAACAATAGTGGTGTTCAAAGAGCAGCCTTCAGCACACAAAGACCAGGACCTAGTCTTATGGGGGAGCTCTTTCCACAGGAAGGTGAAACTCATTGAAAATCTGGCCAATAAAGTCACAACCCTAAAAGAAAATAAATTTATTTTAAAATTCAGAAATTTACAGTTGTGCAAGGGGTACTGCAACCAGAAAAGAATGGAGAACTGCCCAGGTGTTGGGTGAAATTGGGCAAAGCATCGACCATGACTGAAAAAATGTATTAAAAACTCTTAAGGTGGAGAAAAAGCAGCAGGGAAGAATGCCCCGGTAACTATTTGAGATTGGGAAATCATATAATTTGGGGAATCATATAAAAATAAAGCTTCCTGGCTCAAACCAGTAAAAATAACAGCATGAGTGTATAAAGTCAGAAGGGCTGAAGCTTCAAAAAAAGTTACAACTAACAAGGTAGTAAAAAGGAATTCTAAGGAACATTTAATTCCATTAGTTAATAGGGAAGTAAAGAAAGACAATGCAGGAGAGGTTGCACTACATTATGTTGCTCCAGTTTTTCCAAAAGATTTAAAAGACAAAAAAGTAGGCTAAAGGATTTTTAGGTTGAAGGGAAGAGTTCAGGTCAGCAAAGAACACTGAACTCCACTGTGGTTTATTTAATAATCCTCTTGAAGTGTATTCTGAAGATTGTCTGTGAGGATATGGGCTATGAATGTCCATAGGATATTCCTATGAGCTGTTTAGACCTTGTGTTGAATAAGGGTCAGGATCTTACAAATGCATGCATCACTTTTATTAGGATAGATGTTGAAACTGTCGCTCACATTAGTAACTGCCTAACTTGAAGTAGGTGAATAATCCCCCAGATTTCAGTGTGCCTTGTTTGGGTTTTCCATTTCTTCTTCCTAAATTCCATGGGGTGGACACACTTTGAAGTAGATGCTTTAGTTTGTTTTCCAGTGAGTATCAGAAATTGTTCACGTGCAGTATCACTGTCAAAGCTAGCCATGAATTTGTTGCGACTTGGCAACAAAGCTCTTAACTTTTTGAATGAACAACAGAAGGCTGATAATTGGTACTTGCTAAATGAATCCACTGAATACTATGTCTTTAGTTTCTGCTATATAAAACATGGGACTGTCCTGACTCTACTTAAAGGTTAAAAAAAGGAAAAAAAACCCCTACATATTAGGCTTTTGAATGAACAGTGAGAACAAAGTTGATTTTGTCTGCTGCTTTTTTAGTTCGGACATGTATAAACTAGGTTTGCAGTTCATAGATTAGATTTCATCTAAAACGAACCAAAACCATTCTCCCTGTCAGCCCTGATACCTTTACTCCCTTGTTAAGCAAGCAAGGGCAGCTGACCTCTTCTGCTTGCCACAGCTAATGTCACAGAAACCAGGCTTTGTTCAAGAAGAGAGATGGCCTAGCACTCACTGAGGGTGTCCAGGGATGGGGCAGCCACTCTGAACCTGGTGATGAAAACGAGGCAAAACCTCGTTTTCATGTAGAAGAGATGTAGAAGAGATGGAAATCTTCAAAACAACAAGGCGGGACAGACTGGAAGGAGGAAGCGGGCCAGGGGATATCTGAAGAATGGCACGAGAGCAGGTGGGTGGGAGCAGCTGCAGCCTCGTATGTCCCCGGCCTCCCCTTCATCAGTGCTCTGCGTCAGCGTCCGCTGGCTTCCCAGGGAAGCAGGGTGGGAAATTTGCTATCAGTGTAATAGCAACATCAAGACTCTTACAGCTGTAAAAGACAGTTAATGAATGTTACACTCTATCTATCTGAGCAATATGAACTGTCACCACTTGGCAGAATTTAGTTTTTATGTATTACATAACCACAGATGGGGAAGGAATTTCTGGGGCCTTCAGACCAGGTCCTCTACCTTTAATGGCAGCCACTTGCTGCAGTCCTGCATTCAGCTGTTAATCCTGGTTAGGAATATGCATCTGGGAGTAATGTTATTTAACATTGGCAGAATCAGACGTGCAGCTGAATTTCAGCAATCGGTGCCCCTGTGAGCATGTGCTACACTGCTGGTGTTTGATCAATGTGATTTGTCGATGACAGTTTTAAAAAACGCAAGAGCTTTCATTGCTTCCTATGACTGTCAATCCAAACCTTCCCCAACACTCTGGGACCCTACAAGTGTATTGTTCAGATCGAAGTTTCAGACTGAAACTAAATACCTCAGCTATCCCTCCCACCTGGTTACTTTCCTGAAGACCTGGTCCTATAAGGTGCTGATTTTGAAGGGGAAATGAGAGCACATAGTTCCTCTGCTTCATTTTAGCCAATTAGTTTGATTTCTCTGACCCCACTAAGGCCTTGCCATGAAAATCTCCATGCATTTTGTGTCTTTCCAAAACAGAAGTGTCTCACCAGCAGAATTGCTGAGTAACGTTGCTGTGCTGCAGACGGGCTGACAGAAGTGTGCTAACTGCTCTGCAAAACATGTAACTCGAGGGCAACAATCTCCTTACTCATGTGAGTCAGAAAAGCCACTATCAAACACGACATGATGCCAGGGAAATTAGGAAACCAAAATGCACATCTCACCGAAACCTTCTGTCCAAAGACCTACTTATTTGTCATGAAAGCCAATCTACCCTTAAGCCGTGTTTGCATATATAAAGCCAAGAAACGTCACGGTTTTCAGCAAGTTACCTGGGACAACCTGGCATCATTTCCAGTGATTATTATTTTATTCTGCAGGTTCAAGCAATATTTGTAGCCTTTTGTTGAACCATCTGCAGTTGCAAGATTTATAAATTTTTGTTATTGGTGGTGTGTTAGTGGCTTTCCAAATAAAGCAATGCATATATGTCTGTTCCTGGCTCCCACACTAAAGCCAGAAGTCAGTATTTACTCTCTTTGACATGAGGGCTTCAGGGGTTCTAGGTGCTTGTTTCAATGCTAGACTGAGAAGTCTGTGAGTCTCCCCACTGGTCTTGGGAGAAGGAGGCTTCTCTATTTCTACTGTTTAATTCTTCAGTGGAAAACTTTGGCTCAGGATTTTGCAGCCGTCCACAGCTGTGGTTCACAAGACCTTACCAACTTTATTGACATTGCTGACTTGTAATTGAAAATCCACCTAAGGAGAGGTTTCAAACAAACAGGGAGGAGCTGCTACTGCTGGTCTCTAGGCAACTTAATATGTCTTTGGCTGCAGTCAGGCCAAAAAGAGTCTCCTAAGCACACAGGGTGGCTCCTAACAAGAGAAAAACCCAGTACAACTGAGCCTGGATTCTTCTGTTGGCCTGATGACAAGCCAGAATGGCAACCACAAAATCAGAACAGTTGAGGTGGGAAGGGACCTCTGTGGACTGTCTAGTCCAACCCTCCTGTTCAAAGCAAGGTCAGCTACAGCAGGTTGCCCATGGCTGTGTCCAGTTGGGCTTCAAGTATCTCCAAAGATGAAGACTCCAAACCTTCTCTCAGCAACTTTCTCCAGTGTTCAACCACTCCCACAGCAGAAAAGTGTTTTCCTTTGTTCAGACAAAGTTTCCTGTGTATTTCAATCTCCGTGTGTTGCCTCCTCTGTCACTTGGCAGCACTGAGAAGAGCCTGGCCTGTCTTCTCTGCACCTCCTATCAGATACTTACAAACATTGCTGAGGTCCCCCTGAGCCCTCTCTAGTTCTAGAGGCTGAACAACCCCAGCTCTCTCAGTCTCCCCTTCTATGAGAGATGCTCTATGCCCTATGCTGTGAAAAATTAATAACACTGAAATAAATTTACCATCTTAATATTGAGCTTATGTTTAAGTACTTGCTAAATGAGGAGCCAAGACTTGCTAAATACATGCAGCTTTTCTAGAGTGTGGTGTTCCCAAGGAGAAATCAGGCAATTCAAACTAAAAATGCTACAATGCAGAAGCACCTAAACCCAGTCCTTGACCAGCTCCTGAACTCCAGGGAACACCTGGACAGATAACAAAAATTCCTATCCACTACAAACTTATGGCTAGAAAATATCTGGAACTAAAGCAATAAAACACCTCTCCAGCATAAATCCCATGGTATGGAAAGACAATCATGTCTCTCATTTGACAGGCCAATGGAAAGAAAGGGTCAGCTGTGCTAGAGAATCTTGCACCTTCTTAAATGCTGAACTGAGCACCAAAGGGAGTACCTGACATTTTTGTCCTGGCCTGAGATTTTTAAACAGGCAAAAATGAATGAGAAAAGTATGTTGAAGACGAGGCAGCTTCATCTACAGAGAGAGTGCTGCTCACACAGTAGATCTGCCTTGCCCGAGTGCTTGGCTGGAAACCATGTCATTTTTCCTGAGCAACCATCAAGCCAGGCTTTAACGATTACCCCCAAAACACGATGGTGGAGGTTGTCAGTCAAGGGACTCCAAACAGCTGCATTGAGGGCCAATTTTTCCGGGGAGAAAGCTGAACTCTCTCAAAATAAACACTTTCTTCATCTAACTTACCACAGTTCATATATAATGAAAGAGCCACCAAAATGCTTACTTTGCATATTGTCTTCACCTAGGGAGCACAACAGAAATGAAGAGCTGACATGCAGACTGGCACGCCTGTTGCTAGCAGTGCTAGTTTTGCTTGGTAGACTCCACATGGTTATTACAGCCTACGGAGTGTGTGCCTCCTTAAAGAAATATTGAATAACTTAATCAAATATTCAAAAGCAAAACAGTAAGCAGTGATATGCTCGGATACCATCTCCTCATTAAGAGGCATGAGAACCAAATCATTCATCACTGCTGCCAACTCATGTTGCGTGGTCTCTGCCACCAGGCAGGACTTCAAACACAGTGAAAAAAACTTGGTAAGAACCCGGGGTGTGAAAGTGGATGGTGGAGCTCAGGGCACTCACACAAACATGGTTATGCTGGGCTGCAAGGTGCTGTACCAAGCACCTGCGTGCCACTATGCCCATGGGCAAGCCCTGAGGAGGAGGTCCACGTGGGCTTTCCTACTGCTGCAGCCCTGCTCCCACCTTGGCAGCAGCCACTGCAGCTGTTGAGCAGGACTCAGCAGCTTCCCAGCAAGCAGGTATTGACCCCAAAACATCTGAAACTGAAAGCGAGAGCACTGTATCCCCCTGTAGTATGTTATGAAGGCTTACAGCACAAATGGGAGCCCTTTTCATCTGCCATCAAAAAGTAATGAGGTTTGCTATGGAAGAGAGGAAACGCTACCCAAGACACAGTTTCATTACAGAATATTTTGGGGTAGAAGCAAGAAAATACCATGTTCTGCAGAAAAGGCACAAGAGTGTTCTCCAGGCTGAATGCAATTATTTGCCCTATCTGTACTCAGATTTCACCCCTGCCTGAGAACAACCACTACACTGAAGCTCCCCTTTCCCAGGTGGGAAAGGGGTCTGGCTCCTGGTTTGCAGAAGACCCCCACCTCTGCTGGAGGAAGGGAGGTGAGGTTGGGCAAGCTGCAGGGCTGCTGGAGAGCTACTGCATCCTGCTAACACAGGCCTTGCTGCAAAACTGAAATCTTTAGTTCAAAGGGTCTTTGAACATGATTCCAACAGCTGATAAGCAGCAAAATTGTGCATATTTGGTCAATGGAAAGTCAGTTCAAGTATTTTTCTTCTTATCACCGCTGAAATGTATTGCAAGAAAAGGGGAAATGTCTTTCAGTCTTTCCTCTCCCAAACTCTCCTCTGTTTGCAAAGTTTCCACTGGAAATTAGAATTTAAAAAAAAAATAAATATATTTTTGACAGCTTGTAACAAAGAATAGCAGAAAAACCTGTGAAGGACCAGGCTGGGACAAGCTGTTGTCGAACTCATCAACATTCGAGGGCCAACAGAAGACAGCCAGGTGCTCTCCGTGTGTTGCTGATTTGGATGCTTAAACTTAAACTTCGTCATTGGTACCTCTGCCTGCTTTGTTTAAGAGCTTGACATTTTGTGCATTTCTATTTCTGTCACAGCAGCAGCAGTTAGTGGGTGTCAACACTTCTGTCAGAATAGAAACAAATGCCTGTCACTTGGTCAGTCCCAGACACTCAGGCTGCCATTTACCCTTTGGTGTATGATTCCAGGTAATCGTTTCCCTCTTGCATTAAGATCTGTGGGATGGAAGTCTTTAAAAATCATTCTTCTGAGTGCAACCCTCATTGAATGCTTTCTTTTTTTTATGTTGAGAGGCTGTTTGCTGGCAGATTCATAAGACACTTCTGGTAAATAAACACTGCAATTCACAAGCACAAGTGGTCATACTTGCTTCTGCTTTTTCCCATAGGTTTTCCCTTTCAGTTTTATGAACTATGCCATCACTTTGGCTTTTTGATCTTTCTAGGGAAATTTCTAGTAGGTTTAAGAGTGGATGAGATGCTGCAATCCCAGTGAAATGAGATGAGATGGGCAGAGGCAGAACAGAACTGGTCTGTAAAACAAGACTCGGTCTGGTGCGGTTGTGTTAATTTCTGATCTCCAGGTCCTAACGTTTTTGATATCTGAATATGTGCCATCTCCTGGATGATTCTTAGCTGTAACAAAGTTTTGTCTGATAGTGCCCAAATAGCATTGTTTCACACTTATTTCACATAACTCAGTTTTTTCCCCCTTTTTCTTTTTGAGGCTACATTCCCACCTTACCTTATCTTTATAGATGACTGGCTTTGATAGTATTTATTTTTCTTTTCTCTCCTCAGACAGGTCAGCAATTTCAAGGGAAGCCAGACATTATGGAAGAGTTGATGATGTATGGCTGTACAGTAGAAGAGAAAAAGGAGAATGCCCTTCAAACCACTGCTTTCATTCACTTCCCATGCAGCCTGTTTAAAAAAACTGAAAAAGTTTCTGAGCAGCAGCAGCTCAAAGAGGGTTCACATTGGGTTAGTAAGGGTTATCTTGTCCGCACTTATTGCTGTGGTATTAGATAACACGTTCAAGATCTGTTTAATCTGTAGAGCCTCTGTTTCAGATCCCTGGCACAGGGAGAGGCTTCCCTGTTCCCTGAGGTTGTGCTCAGGCCCTTGTGGCATCTGTGGGACCTGCTGCTACTGGAAGAAATGGGTCAATGAAGCAGTGTGGGATGTGCTTGACTTAGCTGTGACTGCTTTGCAGGCTGGAGTTAGATATGGTAAACATACCATGAAATTTTACAAGTATGAGTCTGAAAATGTATGAAAGGACTTGGGAGAGAGTGAGAAAAGAGGTGCCATTTCTTCATTAGACCGTTGTTTAATTTTTACAGGGGCATACACCTGTCAACTAACACATTAAATCAAACTGGTACAATTTTTTAAAGTTTTTCTAATATCTCTGTTACAGCAGTAGACAGTTTATATCTAGAGAACTACATAGTCATGTGGCACAAGACAAAATTTTTTAGGAGTGTCTTCTTTAAGCTATCAGCCAGGACATTTACAGCATTACTTGCTGGGTATGAATACAGCTTTTATTACATAGAACCGTAGAATGATTTGCATTGGAAGGGACCTTTAAAGATCACCTACTCCACCCCCCTGTGCCATGGGCAGGGACATCTTTCACTAGATTGGGTTGCTCAAAGCCCTGTCCAACCTGACCTTAAACACATCCAATGATGGGGTATCCACAACTTCTATGGGCAGTCTGTTCCAGTGTCTCACCACCCTCATTGTAAAGAATTTCTTCCTTATATCTAATCTAAATCTACCCTCTTGCCTTTTTAAACCATTACACCTTGTCTATTACTACATTTAAAAAATAGTGCGATCATCAGGCATAGTCAATGTGGGTTCACAAGGGCTAAGTCCTGTTTAACTAATTTGATATCCTTCTATAAGGTCACCAACTAGTGGATGAAGGGAAGGCGGTGGATGTAATTTTTCTGGATTTTAGTAAGGCTTTTGGTACTGTCCCTCACAGCATCCTTCTGGACAAGTTGTCCAGCTGTGTGAGGAGCAGGTAGACAGTGCGCTGGTTGAAGAACTGACTGAATACAGGGCTCAAAGGGTTGCAGCAAATGGGGCTACTTCTTGCTGGCAACCAGTCACCAGCGGTGTTCCTCAGGGCTGAATCTGAGAGCCAGTTCTGTTCAGTATTTTTATCGGTGATCTGGATGCAGGGGTTGAATGCACCATTAGCAATTTTGATCATGATACTAAACTGGGAGGTGGTGTTGACTCACTTGAGGGACAAGTGGCCTTACAGAGGAATCTAGATAGACTGGAGCACTGGGCAATCATCAATGGCACGAAATTTAACAAGAACAAATGCTGGATTCTGCACCTGGGACAGAGTCATGCTGGACATAAGTATAAATTGGGAGAGGAGCGGCTGGAGAGCAGCCCTGCAGAAAGGGATCTGGGGGTGCTGGTTGACAGCAGGCTCAACAAGAGTCATCAGTGTGCCCTGGCAGCCAAGAGGGCAAACCACATCCTGGGGTGCATTAAAGACAGTATAACCAGCCAGTCAAAAAAGGTGATTATCCTGCTGTATTTAGCATTGGTGCAGCCTCACCTTGAGCACTGTGTGCAGTTCTGGGCCCACAGATTAAAAAGGATGTTAAAGGTCCTTGAATGCATCCAGAGGAGGCAACAAAGCTGGTGAAGGGGCTGGAAGGCCTGTCCTGTGAGGAGTGGCTGAGGACACTGGATTTGTCATGTCTAGAGAGAAGGAGACCTCGTTGCTCTCTCCAGCTTCCTGAGGAGGGAAAGTGGAGACGGAGGTGATGATCCCTGGGATCCAGTGCCAGGACACGTGGGAATGTCTCAAAGCTGCATCCCTCAGGGGAGGTAGAGACTTGACAGGAGGAAACATTTCTGTACCCAAAGGGTGCTCAAACCCTGGAACAGGCTTCCTCGAGAGGTGGTCAATGCCCCAAGCTGGTCAGCGTTGAAGAAGCATTTGGACAACGCCCTGATTCACATGCTTTACCTTTTGGCCAGCCCTGAAGTGGTCAGGCAGTTGCACTTGATCATTGTTGTAGGTCCCTTTCAGCTCAACTCAACTCTTTGATTTGTTTCTTCTTCCTCACTCCTTCCTACCAGGACCTGCTGAGGCAATCTGTGATGACATTTCTTCCCAACCCTGCACTAACAGAAGAGATTGAATGGGTCAGCATGTCCCATCCTAGGTGTTGGTTCTGTCACCTTGTGGGAAGGAAACACGTACCTTCTGATGGGGGTGAGAGCTGGGGATTGTCTCAAGAGAACTGGACCACCTGAGCAAAGTTACAAAAAGCACGTGGGCACTGCGGTTTTGGAAAGTCATCTGCATTCATCCAGTTGAGCTGGGTTTCCACAGAATGGCAAGAAACTGCATATCTGACACTAGTGAGGCTCAACGATCAAGTCGTCTGTCTGAAGCTGAAAGTGCTCTGGAACTAAATGGGTGCAAATCTTTTTGATGAGAGTAATACCTATTCATTTCCCTGTGGATTTCTTTTACCTTGTACTCATTTTTAGCAATGCCTGAGCTATTTCCCTTGGAAAACATGCGAAAACCAAAGAGCCAGAGAAGAAGAGTACTCCATCAGAGCTAAGGTGCATCTGGCCCAAAGCTCTGTCTCCAAAGGGGCCAACCATAGCCCTGGGACCCTCACCCACACCATCTCCTGCCAAGGGCGCAGGGGACGGGGTGTCTCAGCTCAGCCTGGGGCCTTCAGTCCTTGCCTGAGCCATGGTGTAGGTGTGCCCACCTCTGCCCCTCTCTCCTGGATGGGCCTGGCCCCTGCACTGCAGAGAGCTGCTCTCCTGCATGGACCCCTCAGAGCTAGGTCATAGCTTGGCATGCAGCGCTGTAGGCATAACACAGCAGCCCTGTTCTTTTCTGTTCTGTTTGCTTCCATTCCCTGCTCTCTACCGGGAGAGTCTTCTTTTCCTGAAATGCTGGCTGGGGGGGTTTCAGCTCCAAAACCACCTTCAAGGACACAGATCAGAAAGGTTACAAGTGGCAACAGGATTTTAGGAGTACCTCTTATTTGATGTCATTTGCTGTCAGCTTGTGTTCTTTTTCTGAGTCTGTTGGAGAGCCAATGCTCACAAGCATTAACACAACGTGCATGCGTAGCCAGGAGCAGGCTGATGTGTTCTTGAGTTGAGCTTGACAAAAGCTCCCTTGCAGTCTGGCAAAGGCAAGGCACAGAGCTAGAGCAAGTAGAAGCAGGACTAGAGGCCAAGCGGTCCCTGTTTCCTGAAGCCTGAGAATCGGGACCAGCCACCCACAAAAGAAGAAGAATGACAGAAAGGCAGGGGTTGGAAGGGACCTCTGGAGATCATGTAGTCCAACCCCCCTGCTAGAGCAGGTTCGCCTAGAGCAGGTTGCCCAGGACATGGTCCAGGCAAGTTTTGAATATCTCCAAGGAAGGAGACTGCAATATGGGTGTACGGTAGCTGCGCTGCCCTGCTAGAGCCTCCAAACAAGCTCAAGAAGAAGAAGGAGAAGGAGAAGAAGAATGGGTGTGTGGTACTGTGGTGTTTTTTCCAAACTAGGACACCTAGTGATGACAAGCAGCCTTTTGGCCTTCCAAGACTTGCTGGGCTGTGCTTCTTGGCCAGTGATGCATGAAAAGTGCTCTCATGCCTGCCCCAGGCTGGTGTTGCAACGCAGGGAGAGCTGAAAAGTGGCAGCTGCTGGTGGTGCAGCAAGGCTGGAGCCCTTGCTGGTTTGTGTCTGTGCCTGTTAGGCACAGGCAAGAAGCCCTGGGGAAATGGAGTCAAGGGAAGAGCAGACCTTGCTCCCATGACAAACTTGCAGTGGGCAAGAGAGCCCAAGTGAGCCA